ACGCGCCCGCGCCCTGGCACGCGCGGGCACACTCGCCTTGTGCAGGCCTATGAAGCCACCCCAACTCGCCCCAAGCTGGCACGCGCGTTTCCCGGACCTGGCACACTCGCTCGCTCTGGCACGCGTGACTCCCTCACAGTCGCCCTTGCTCGGGCGCGCCCTCCAGACAGTGGTCCCCGCGCTTCACGCTCAGCTTTAGCCGCAGGTCTCACAAACGCGCGCGCACACACATTCACACTCATTCCGCCCTCTTCTCCAGAGCCGCTGGGCGCGCAACCCCCGGGGTTGCTCATTCACACTGTCACTTAGCCTTGGCCAGGTCTCTCCTGCGCACACTCCGCACCTTCAGGCCCCGACTGCCTTCCAACCACACCCTGGCACACCCGGGGCCAACTCTAGGGGGTCCTCCGTCCGCCCCACCGTGAGAGGAGCGCAAGCCACAGTTCCCCAGCCCCCACTTCGGGCAGACGAGGCCCGTCGGCTTCGCCCCTCCCCTATCCCTACCGCCCCCAGCAACGACCCCCCTCCCAGTCACATACAGACAAAACCCTCTGCAGGGAGGCAAGGAGCCTTTACGCTTCCACGTCCTGGGATGAGCCAGGCTGGGACCACCACGTCTCCAGTGACACCACCAGCGTCTCCTTCCTTACCCCCCAGGACAAGCTTGGGGAGAAGTCTCCACCGGGATGCAGGGAAGAAGCAGGGGGCTCACGCCAAGGCTGGATGGGCAGTTCCAGAGAGCGAGGCACACCCCTCTGCGAGCTTGGCGCTGGTAGCTCACCCTCCAGCCTTCCTTTCGCAGCCTGGGCCTCTGAGGGGTCGGTGTGCTCACTTCAGTCGCCACCCCCAGGCCTCCAGTCTGGCTGCAACGTGGGGGATTAAGGTTAGACAACCAAACTGACTTCTAAGGCTACGCAGGAACGCAACGGAAAGGGTGAATGCCAGAAGCCGTAGAAAAGAATGGCCCATCCCCATCTCCACCCAAGGATTTTTCACCTGACCTTTGATCCATAATCTCTGCGCCTTTTGCTACCCTTTTCCCCCTCCAGGGAACTGCTCCAGGGCTGGGGTCGGGGAGGTGAAGGAAAATATCTTGCAGTTTCCTCACGCCCTTCCCTAGGAGGCTGCCCAGAGCCCGCGGACCCTTTCTCAACAAATACCTCAGGGAGTCCCATTGCAGAGGAAAAACTCTCCTTGCCCCTTTCGAGTCTTTTCAGTTTCACTTCCGTAGACGCAGAATCCCCTCCGTGCAAATGGCAGGGGTCAGCTAGGGCTGAGGCCAAGAGAGGGCCCGCCGGAGTTTAAGGACACACAGAAAAAGGTGGCGCCCAGCTAAGGGCCAGCCCATCCCACCCACAGTAGATGTCCTCTACCCGGCCTCTCCGGGCCGGCCACCTTCCTGGGCCGCAGAAAGGGATGACATGGTGGGTGTGGGGAAGGGACAGAGTAGGGGAGGCGACAGAACCTGGGAGGATAGGAATCCCCCCCCCCAACCCCGCGCTAGCCTGGGCCTGGGCGAGGTTTGCTCCTGGAGGCTGCCCATCTCCTCCAGGGGCTGACCGGCCTGGGCGTTCACGCCGGGCCAGTGTCGAGATCTGCAGGTCATTCGTGGGCTGATTTGACCTCCGAATGCTCCCGTATCCTGGGCTCAGCCGCTTTTTGCCAGGTTGGGAGCAGTCAGTAGTTTCGCCCTAGACCAACGACCCCTCTTCACCTGGGGACACGGAGGCTGTGCGCCGTGGACTGCCGTCGTCAGTGCCACAATTCGCAGGTGCTCGAGCAGAGTCCTCGCAGGGTATCTGGGGTACGTGAGTTTCACATGTCCTTATATCCAAGGGTCCAGGGAGGCCGAGGGGCGCACGTCGGACGCTGTCCGGGAGTCGATGGGTCAGTTGCTGCTCCCGGCGCGGGACCCAGCAGCCGCGCCCGCTTCCCCGGGGCCGCAGCGACACCTGGCGGGCACCGTGGGGCGCGCGTTTCCCCTCCGGCTGCCGCTCCGGCTCTTAGCAGTCAGCGCCCGCTTACTAAATAGGGTATGGCTCCCTCTCCATCTCACGGCCACTGCCTGGCCTAGAACCGATGGTTCTCCCACCTGAGCTGGGGCAACAGACTACTCGTGGGTTTCCGTTCCTGCCATTTCAATGCCCTACCTGCACATGAGCCTCTGACCTTCCTAAACCTCCGTGAGGGACCCTCCTGTTCTCTCCACTGCCTTGGTGGCAAAGCTAGAGTCCTTGAGGGGGAGGAAGATCAAAGCAGGATCTGTCCCTGTCTCCTCTTCAGCTTTATTAGACGCCCCTATCCCAGGGCTCCCAGGCTCTGCGCAGCCCCCTTCTTTGTCATGGCCCTGTTATCCTTAAATCAAACCCCACTTTACTATGCCCCTCCCCTTTAGCACCGTCACTAGTTCCCCCATCTTCGCCATCTTCCTTTCCCACGATGGGGCGGGGAGGGGGCAGGAACTAACACCCCGGAGGCCAGAGCCTCGATGCCTTGCAAGTGATGGGGAGCCCACATTTGGTAATCCTGGGAAGCCCTGGGAGATTGGGAGAAGGTCTCCTTGACTTTGAGTCCCTGGAGTTGTTGTTTTTTAGTTTCTTGTTGCTGTTGAGAATACACACAGCAAAACGTATACCAGTTCAACCGTTTCTACATGTACAATTCAGTGACGCTGATTACATTCTTTGAGTTGTGGAATCATTCTCACCCTCCTTTTCTGAGTTGTTCCTCCTCCATTAACATAAGCTCACTGCCCCCTAAGTTTTCTATCTAATCTTTCAAGTTGCTGTTGTCACTTTGATCCCATATAGATAGTTCTTAAAAGAACATAATGCTCAAGGCAGACATTTTTTACTAGTTAAGCTAAATAAACTATTGATTGGTTTTAAGAAGACTTCAGGGGATATTTTTGGTTTTGGGTTTAAAGATGATCTCAGGGCAATAGTTTCAGGGATTCATCCAGCCTCCATGGCTCCAGAAAGTCTGGAGTTCATGAGAATTTTCAATTCTGTTCTGTATTTTCCCCCTTCTGATCAGGATTCTTCTGTAGAATCTTTGATCAAAATGTTCAGTAATAGTAGCCAGGCACCATCAAGTTCCTCTGGTCTCATGGCAAACGTGGCAGTTGTTCATGGAGGCAATTAGCCACACATTCCGTATCCTCCTCCTATTCCTGTGAGTCCCTGGAGTTTGAAACCCACCATGAAAGGGGGCTCTTTGGCCAGCACTTCTGGCTCCACCCTTCACCTGGCAAGTGACCTAAGCTTGGACAATCTCCCATCCTCATCTCCCAGGAGTCAACTGGTCCATCCCAAGCTTTGGGCAGCAAGTACCATTCTGCACTCCTACAGAGGTGTTCACAAGGAAGGAGGGCCCCCACCCCACTTCCTGTGGTCCACCCCTTCCAGTGCTACTTCAGAAAACTGCCGATTTCTAACCTGCTATACAGACAGTTCCACTCTGATGCACATACCTGCCTACCCAAAGGTGCAAACACTCACACACAGGCTCTCTGTCTTACCTACAAGTGTCAAACACATGGTCATGTAAAGTCACACACCCAGTCTCAAAGAATCAAATGTGTATATTCAAACTCACCATGGCATACTGGGAATCAGGGTCCCGTGCTTGAGGCTGGGAGCCAGAGGTCCCAGAAGGAAGGCACTGAGTCCCCAGATCACACACTTAACATAGTACCCACTTGCAGACACACACAGCCTTGTATCAGTCACACCTGCATGTCACTCAGGCACACATGCAAAGTCACACACGTTCTCAATCACACAAAGTCCCACACTGGGGTTTGGCGGGTCGGGGCGGGCTCCAGGAGGCAGTTACGTAAACTCCCTCACAGCCCCCCCTCGCCGCTCCCCCTCATTCCCCCCTGCTTCCTCGTGCAGTGCCAGCGCCCGGGGCGGCTTGGCCCAGGCCCGGGAACAGCTCGGCCTCGCGGAGGCTCCAGGCGCCGAGAAACCCGATCCGACAGAGCCCGGGGCTGAGCCAGGGAGGGGGGCCCAGAGCCCCCCCCCCCGAGTCAGGGACCAGCCCAGCCCCCCAGGGACGACTCACTCCCATTCTGGGTCAGCTCCCAGCCCTGGCACCTGGGGCACACTAACAGCACCCTCATTCTGCAGACCCCCTTCTAGAACTCTATCATCTGGGCTGCTGCGTAAGTGTCCCCTGGCCCTTCCAACCTCTGGGGCCAGAAAAGGGCAAAGATTCCCTAAAGGTAGAGAATGCGGGAGGGCTGGAGCCATAATGGGGGAACCTAAATATTCAGCCCAGAATTGTCCCCAATTCCATGGAGCCATCTGCTTTTCCCTCTTGCAAAGGGCCCTCTAAAGCCACTCTGATAGAGGGTCTTTCACTTCTGCCTCAGACTCCTGCTCCGGGTCTTCCTCAAATTTGCTGCCTACCTGCCAACTGACCTCAACATATTCTATCAGAATTCTAATTTTTTCAGATAGGCTCAAGGCCTCCCCTCCCTCTCTTTGGTATCTTTCTTTCATCCTTAGCTAGAAGTTCTAACTCCAGTCTAACTGCAGTTCCTCCTGCTTTCCTAAGAAGTTTCAGGGCAACCTGAGGCATTGGGAACAAAATCCCTGAAAGGAAGAAGGATTAAAGCTGGAAGTCAGGAGCTGGGAGCTGAGAGGAGGGGAGAGAATGCCTATCCCCTCCCTGTACAACCCCCACCCCACTCT